CTAACCCAATGATTTTGCTCTAAATCCTTCAATCTAAACCACTGATCTTGATCTAAATCCTTCAATATAACCCAATGATCTTGCTCTAAATCCTTTAATCTAACCAATTGAACTTTCTCTAAATTCTACATCTAACCCACTGCTCTTGCTCTAAATCTCTCAATCTAACCCTCTGATCTTGCTGTTAATCATTGAATTTAACCCATTGAGCTTACTCTAAATCCTTCATCTCAACCCAATGGTCTTGCTCTGAATCCTACAATCTAACCCACTGATCTTGCTCTAAACCCTACAATCTAGCCCGTTGATCTTGCTCTAAATCCTTCAATTCAACTCTCTGATCTTGCTTTAAACCCTTCAATCTAACCCATTGATCCTGCTCGAAATTCTTCATCTAACCCATTGATCTTGCTCGAAATCTTGCAATCTCAAGATCTTTACATGGATCTGGTTCTCTTCGAATTCAGGAGTTCTAAAATCAAAGCAAATGAAGAGAAGTCAAGGTCTCCCTTCAAACCCGAAACCTCCAGGACTTAAAAATCTCACTTTATTCTTGTAAACATCAATTCCATGGATGATTAGTACATAATATAACAAAGAAACCTACGAATCATGACAAAGATCTTGGAAAAAACCTTTAGAAAATTTACAATGCAGAAACAGAGGAAATGTTTTCTCGTATTTTATTACTGTAAGATTACACTGTAAAAAGATAAAGAATCATCTAACTGTTTACTACAGAAATGATCGGATCTTTGACAGAGAAGATCTAATATGCAAAGGAATAGATCCTATGTAAAAATATACCCCATGTGTATTGAATGTTGAGAAGCTACAGAGTGTTCCATATCATTTCTGGTTATCACCAAGTTTTAAAGTGCTATGTAATTTTACAATTTACATGTCTTGGGCTACAAAAAGTTTATATGAGGTAAAATCAAAGGCCAAGGCGTTGCAACACTTCAAAGTCAACCCAGTCTTAAAAACTTATGTCTAGTCCAAGTTTCTTCTCATCTGCCTCTTCTCTTTAGCTCACTTCTAATTTTCCTCTTTCATAATCTATTTTCCACTTCAACTCCTTCTCCTCTTTCTTCTCATATTTTCCACTACCATTCTTTCTCTTCTTCCCATTTTTTCCAATTACACTCCTTCTCCCCTTTCTGTCCATATTTTCCACTTACACTCCTCCTCCCATTTCTTCCCATAATTTTCACTTCCCCTCATTCTACCCTTTATCCCCATATTTTCCACTTCCATTCTTTCTCTTCTTCCCATATGTTCCACTTCCATTCCTTATCCCTTTCTTACCATGTTTTCCACTTCCATTCCTTCTCCCCTTTCTTCCCATATTTTTCACTTCAATTTCTTCCCATAACCCCCCCCCCTACAATCCTTCTTCCATTTCTTCCCATATTTTTCACTTCCATTCCTTCTCTCCTTTCTTACCATGTGTTACACTTCCATTCCGTCTCCCCTTTCTTCCCATATTTTCCACTTCCACTCATTCTCTTCTTCCCATATTTTCCACTTCCACTTCTTCTCCCCTTCCTTCCCATATTTTCCACTTACACTCCTCCTCCCATTTTTTCCATATTTTTCTATTCCACTCATTCTCCCCTTTCTTCCTGTATTTTCCACTTCCATTCTTTCTCTTCTTCCTATATGTTTCACTTCCATTCCTTATCCCCTTTCTTACCATATGGTCCATTTCCATTCCGTCTCCCCTCCCTTCCCATATTTTCCACTTCAATTTCTTCCCATACCCCCTCTGCACTCAGAATGA